GGACTGAGCCATTGTTTTTGGCGTTTAATATTGGCATAGAGAGTCCATTTTTCATCACCAGTGACAATTCTGTTCAAAAATGGTTCACGCGCATTACGCGCCAGAAGAAACGAAGCAACGTTCACACGTTGGAAACGATGATCATCGGAAAGTTCGTGAGGCACCTAAACATCTTCTTTATGGAGTTTTTCCATATTCCTTAGAAGTTTACGTTTTGTTTCATGAGAGACATGCAAGTTCAGGGCCATTTCACGAATGTGTTGCCTTGAGTTAGACTCCACGTGCGTCTTCAGAGCATCAATATTAATTGCAACATGTCGGCCCCTGCCATCACAATTTTTTAAGGCTAAAGTCACCTAAACGAAATTTGCTGAACCATCGTTGACACTTACTGTAGGCTACACTAACGTGACGTTTAGTCGGTTTGTTTAACTATTATACGTGATATATGTTGTTTTTTTTGGGGGGGGTAATAAAAGTGTTCGCAAACGCGACATTAATTTCTTGACGTTATTAGTTCGTTAGATTTATACTGTGTATAAAATGTTTAAGATAATTTTAGAAACCGAAACTATTTGGTAATAAAATATAGGACTAATATGGCCTGGTGAATAGAGCGCTCAACTAGCAATTTGCGGGTCGCAGGTTCGAATCCCTTCACTGAACATGTTTGCCTTTTTAGCCACGGGGGCGTTGTAATTTGACGGTTAAACCTACATTTCGTTCGTAAAGAGTAACCCAAGAGTTTAGTGGTGATTGGTTTTAACTAACTGCCCTCCGTCTAGTCCAGCACTTCAAAATTAGGAACGGGTAACGCAGCTTAGCGTGAAATTCAACAAAACAAGTAAATAAAACACCAACTTATTGTTTGAATTTCACGAGATTAAGGCTTCAGCATATTATTAAGAAGTAACTCAACGTTAAACAACAACACACATTGTATTCAATTTTAGTTTATGAGGAATGTTTTTAATATCTAAAAAATCCAATTTCAGTTAAAATCGAAAACTTATTTTTTTATCATGATAGGTCGTTTAGAAATATATGAATATCGACATATAATTATTTTTAATAAGATAGAGTTTATATTATGAGAAAAGCATCTATGAATCTCATACAATTTCTGATCTTCTGGTTGACCATTAACACGACTCATTAAAACTGAGTTTGATGCTAAAGAAGCAAAATCTAAAATTAATTCTACCTTTTTTCCGTTATTCAAGTAATTGATGTGAAGGTTATTTAATTAAACCGACTACCTTTCTTTTGCAATTCCTTTGCTTATTGTTTGACGCACATCAAGTGAATCTATTAAGTGAATCGTTTAAGTTTAATATACTATTATGTATCTATGCGCGTATTCCGTTTTGTCTGTAAATTTTGAACAAAATGAATATTATAAATACATTCTTGTGCTATTCAAATGAAATGATATCCTTTAAAATGTCATTAGTCTAAAGTAGAGAAGCACCTGTTAGCAAAATTATTTGTAGTACACCTCAACATTAATTGATATTTTGTAAATAGAATATTTGAAGAAATATTCTTAGAGAATAATATAATTTAGGCAAATCGAAACGTTTCACTAAATTTATCTTAAACGTGAACAATAATATTTTCTTCAAGCCACATCACGATATCTTCAGATATCTCAGAGTCGTATACATAGTAGAAATTTTTCAAACGTAGTATAAAAATCTGACAAAACAGAATTAGCTAGAAATTAATTTCATTTATAAAATATTAAACGTAAGAAACTAAGAAGTTCGTACTATTCTAGAGTGGTACCGAAACGTTTTATTTCATTTTTTAAATTCATATGTATATCTTATACTTATAATTAAAGTTAACATCTTTATAAACTAATTGGTTTTCTGATGTAAATTTGGTAGGAACATTTATGATATCAACGCATAAATCTCTCTGTTCTTTTTTATTTTTGAGTATCTTTATTAGTTGTTTAATATTTCTTTCTTGTGTTTACAGCTTTACGAATTTCGGCGGTTAAAGAAACATGTTAAGCACGATCTGACAGTGGAAACAAGACACGAAGATTTTCTGAACAACAACTTCCGTCCTCTTCAGCCATTAAATGGTCGGACAATCTGGGCATCTTTTGAATCTTGAATTTCATATTGAACATGGCAAAAATATGTCAAATAAAACTTTCAAAAAGGAAAGTAATAACATGCAAAACGAAAACTAAAATCATAAATCGTGAAACGTTTTAAAATATTGATCTGTGGTTTCAAAAATGCATATTTTCTATTTCCAAATAAATAGTGACTTTAAAGAGCACACCATGTTGGACTGAATAGCTTAAAGTGTAAGCAAGTGTAACTGTGTTATTATTGTTTTAATATGTGTGCCTAAAGTGATCTTATGCGACACCAGATTACCATACATTTTTCATATTCTCCTCGCAAGATAACACACTGGACATTATTCTTCAATACTTAAGGATAAACCGATATGAACATTTCTCATACAATACATACAAGCCTCATGAAAATGACGTTTCTTACATTGAGAGAAATGAATACATCTTTATTATGTCAATATTTAGCAGAATTATAGCTATGTATGTTATCAGGTTTTTTATAATAAAATTTGAAATATTTTAATGTAAATGATATATTTGTAATAGGAAATTGAAGTTGTTATACTGTGAAACGATATATGCGTAGTGTGAATTGGTTGTACATTCACACAAATATTATGAGCTTTGTATTTCTTAGATCCGTGAAAAGTTTAGCAAGCTGATCTAATATTTTGATAACAGATTTTAGTTTTTAGAGGTATTATTTTAAATATGGCGCGTATATAAACAAAAGACTTGGCTGAAGTATTTCACTTTAATCTAATGAATATTAAATATAATATTGTACGAGTGTCACTACAGATAACATTCAAGTGAGTTTAATGTCCTTTTTTTTTAGCTTAAATATGCTATAAATTTTCATAAAGTTATGGTTTTCAAAATATAACCATAAACCTCTGTATACATCACAAAAATAATTACCATTTTGCTGACATTCAACTGTACAAATAATTCAAATGTGTATTAAAGTGTCCAGAGCAGACCCCAATAAAGTGGCTGGAGTTAAAGTAATTTCTCTCTTATACTATCTCAAGAGAACTTTAGGTTATGTTATCCTAGAAATGAAATGTTTTAAAGTGTCGAAATAAAGTGTCATAAATGCTGGACTAGAAATACGCAAACTTGCAGTGGACTTCCATAATGACCTCTAGTAATTCCATTTTAAGTGATGATACTATATTGTATTTCATCATACGTAAAATGATATAATAACGATATACTAACAAACATTAATGCAAGAGAACGTTACTGATATTTTATGAAGGTATGTCATAAAGCTTGAAGTGTACCACAAATGTTGTTCAGTTATAAGTTTATTTTTATTTTCAGATATTCACATAAAAACTATATAAGGATATTAATGCTAGCCGTCCAAAATGTTGAATCAATAAACAAGAATGAAAGCAGCTAGTCAATAGCACCCACCAGCAACTTTGTAATACAGTAAGAAAATAGTCCTATTAACCTTAAGTTATATAACGCACTTTTGGCTCAAAAGTGCGGAGCACGATTATTTTTTTCTTTTTTGTGCGCTAATCATGGATTCTCGGGTCCACAATTTAATAACGCTAACCACTAGGTCAGTCCCTGCCCATTGTTCTATTAAAGACAATAAGTAATTGTGAAAATATTTAATATTTAAGTTAATATTTAATAATATTATTAGCCTAATTTATTTACATAGCAGTTCCCCAGTGGGTCAGTGGTAAGTTTACAGACTTACTACGCTAAATAATGTCTTTTGTACGTTGTGAGAAATGGATATAGCATTTTATTAGCGTACCTGATCTTCTGACGACTATTAATCATAGCAATAATCAGATTAGTCTATTTCCAGTTAACTAGCAGTTTCCTTAGTGCGCCAACGGTCAGTTTACGAAATCACTACGCTAAAATCCAGGGCACGAGTCTTTGTGGTGGATAGAACGCAGATAGTCTATCATGTAGCTTTGCGATAAAACAAACAAAATCTACATAGAAGTCAAACTGGAGCGTCACGGATCAAAAGATGTATGAATATTTTTCATAAACCAGCAACACGATTGATAATGGTATGAAAATAAACATATCTTAATCCATTTTCAAAATAAAATGAACCGCTAACATTCATTACTTATTTACTGGAAGAGAGAAATATATACATTTATAGCAAGTAAATTGACAAGAACTAATATACTGTTAGAATAATAATGGAATAAAGGTTCTAGGATTTATGGCAGGAAACCTAATTGACATATGGCGTAATTTGCCTCAACCGGATAAAAAAAGGTTTTCAAATGCATTATATAACAGATTGGCAAACTTTACATATTTAAATATTTTGTAAGTTTCTACTTCTCTTAATACATTTTTTTTTTAGTTGGAAGCCCAGTAAAAACTTGCGATGTAATAGAATTTTAATATCCCTAAAGAAAATTGGACACGTGGCGTATTTCTACCATATAATGCTGCAATTAATCTCCTTTCGTGCAGATATATAAATCACATGTAGCATACATCAAATAACTACACTATATAGATTACATTGAAATCAGGAATTTCAAATACAAAAATGATAGTCACTGAAAATATGAGAATGTAAGATAACTATAAGTCATATATAAAATATTCACGATTCTATGAAACTCAACACATCCTTAAATTTAGCTCTCCCTTTTCAGTGCATTGTTTTTTTTATTCTTTTATAATTAAAAGCATGTTTTCCGATATTGTCTCATTACTATGCTACCAATGCAGGTTTTTGTGTAACAGAAGGTAAAACACCTGTACACACAGACTCTCCTGAAGATTGTTGTATGTATTGCCTTATTACATGATGTCATTTTTTTCGTTGTATGCGTTTTTTTTTTCGGAAGAAATCAGACATAGTTGAAGAGGTAATAAACTCCAGTGGATAATGATACGTGAAACGCAATCGTCAACCATACAGAGGGCATGTGGCTTGCTCGCCAGGTTTGATTACTTATTCTTCCGACGTTCGTTTGGGGCTCATAAATTGTTCTAGCCCCACGTTTTCGCTGTATAACTTAGACATGCGACGAGAAAGTCAATATATTATTGTTCTCGTCACGTAGGTCATTTGGCGCTTGTTACTAGGTGGCGTTTGAGAATTTACTACCATGGTTTACTTGATGAGATGATCTCCTTGGAAACCCTTACCAAACTATCATATCCAGTACCTGGTGTGACTTCACTGCTGCTACTTAATGCAATTTACCTTTAATACAGACACGTACATGCAGATACACACAGTTCTCTTACACATATTACACACATGCATTCTGTAAAGTTATATGTATGAGATTTTGGATATAAAAGAAATGATATGTTAAAAAAGATAAACTTATTACAAGACACATATAGTGCAGTATGATTTAATTACTTTTGATCGAAAATTAAAAACAAATTTCTTATTATTCCACCTGAGTTTGTATAATTTTGTATTTTAAAATGTACGCTTCTCTAAACGGACATACATACCAAAAGAAAGCACCACCGGTTTATCAAAATCTAGAATTTCAATAAATTTGGTGAGTAAAGCAGTTATTAAAAATAGTTGCGAAAAGATTTATTTAACTGATTAGTGAAAAAAACAACAACAAAAAACAGCAACCTGAGATTCTCTCGGTGAAGAGTAGTATAATTTGTGATTAAATGAAAGTATATAAAATAATCCTATGTGCAATTTATTGTACACATACTTCCAACACAAATAGCAAAGGAAGTGATTTACTGCATTCATAAATATATATATATATATATATATGTGTGTGTGTGTATACATATCTTCATATATTAATGTACGTTTATTGCATTTCTCGGGATTAAGTGCTTGAACACATGCAAAACGGCAATAAACTTTTAATAATGCATACTTTTCTTGGTTCACCATGCTTAGGGTAACCTGATATTGATATCCTTAATTTTTATTTATTATTTTCAACTACATATGTGTTTTTTTTTCTTTTTCCTACTGAATTATTTCACTCGTGTCGTAGACTATTATGTACCTTTTAATTGAAGATATTGAGGATTAAATGCACTTTGTAAAAACGATGTTCTAGATTCAATATTGTCCTTTAAGCTACTTCCTCCATAGCCAATCTTGCTCAATTTGGATCGGCACAATAATTTTTATTGTTACAAGTTTCTTAGAAGGGCATTCTTAGACTTTACATATTGAAGAACTTTTGAGAGATTTTAAGTTATATGTGGACACCGGTTTCCACGACCATTAAAGCTCCATCGTGGGACTTGATAGGTTTACTGTCGATTGGTATTGCTGTGATTCTAGTTCGTTTGGTCATTTTTTCTCATAAAAACAGCCATTGATTTCGAGGTGTGGCTTGAATCCTGTGAAGTTTTGACTTGAGAACCTTTTTCAACTTCAATTTTTTATTGAACCTAGATAACGATACGAGAAGACATGACTAGCTTCATTGCAATGGTTTTGGGCGTCAGAAGATTCTCTTTCATTACTTGACGGATAAGGAAATTGTTCCAGGCTGATTTAGGATATGGATTCGGGGCTCATTGCTGAACAAACGCTCTGCTTCTTTCTAAGTTTTTTAGCTTCTACCAAGAACAATGAAGATTCCTTTCTTGGAAATGTTGTACTCTTTGCCTTTGAATCAATTAACAAGTTCCACCAGCCGTAAGTCTACTTTGGTGGCATTGCAATCTTGACTTGTTGAAATTTTACTGTGAACGAAATATATAGGTGTTCAGTGGTATATTTGATACACTTATTTAGTGTTTAATCTCCAATGTATTTTACATAATTGTAGAGATTCTTATTATTAAGACTAGGTGAACTATAATAATACTTTAATAAAATACTATAAATGAATAATACTGTAATAAAATACTATAAATGAATAATACTGTAATAAACTACTATAAATGAATAATACTGTAATAAAATACTATAAATGAATAATACTGTAATAAAAGACTATAAATAGATAATGCTATAATCAAATACTATAAATGAATAATACTGTAATAAAAGACTATAAATAGATAATGCTATAATCAAATACTATAAATGAATAATACTGTAATAAAAGACTATAAATAAATAATACTATAATAAAATACTATAAATAAATAATACTATAATAAAATACTATAAATAAA